GCCTATTCATAAAATTCATGTTAACATAAGTGCTTTTTGCGTAAACAATACAAGGTACATGCCAGTACACAAGAAATCGCTCCTTCAAACATAATTGTGCTCTGCAGTCACCTCTCCATTTTCTGTAACAGGGCTGGATTATGCTGGCTTATTCTTCACACAGGACAGCAAGGATAAACATTATCTGCTTTTGTTTACTTGTGCTATTATACGAGCTTTACATCTAGAACTTGTCCCTTCTGTAAGTGTAGAGAATTTTATACTTGCATTCTGCATGTTTATTTATTGTCATGGATTGTGCTCAATGATATACTCAGATAATGCCAAGGCATTCAAGAGTGCTGATCTTGAGTTGTGAAAAATCTGGAAATGTGTTCAACATCCATCTGTACAAAATTTGCTTTCCTCCCATGGTATAAGATGGAAATATATTGCTGAAAAAGGAGAATGATGGGGAGGGTTCTGAGAGAGGCATTTTAGAAAAACAAAACTTGTTTAAGAAAATAAGTTGGACATTCTAGTCTCTGTTTGAATGAGCTAGAAACAGTTTTTATAGAAATGGAAGCCATAATTAATTCAAGGCCCATAACTTATATAAACCATGACCCTTCAGGGGCCTCGACACTAACTCCTAACTTATTTCTTAGTTGGTAAACAGTAACTTTCTCTTTCAGTTACAAGAGTGTGCAGAGAAGACCTGGTTGGGTCTAGACATTCCTTGATAAAAAGGTATAAACATTAACAAACCTTGTTAAATCACTTCAGGAATCGTTGGAGGAAATATTACTTGCTTTCTTTGAGGCTATGAATTTATGTCCACCTATTACAGTGTCTTGTCAGTTTAAAGTCGATAATGTTGTCCTTGTACATGGTAACCATTTCACTAGAAATTTGTGGACAATAGGTAAGATAATAGAAATTTATCCTGGAGAGATGGTCAGATTCACTCATCTCATAAAAACTCAAACAGTTATTTAAAGAGACCAGTACAACTGCCATGCAGCCTTGAGTGTATAATTAGTAATAACGAGCAACTGTGCAATAAGCTGAGCCTGTTGTTTTGCATTTATATCATTTTCTGAGTATCTTTATTGATTATTGCTAAATGTAATTTTTGGGTTGTAAGATTATTGCAAATTTTGATTTTAGTATCATTGATTCATGTTTCTTATTTAGTAATTAACTTGTAAGTTGATTTAATTTGTTTAAACATTACTAGGTTAGACTAGAAGAGAAACACGCTAATGTGACAATCAAAATCGTAAAAACAACCTTGTATTTAGCGTAGGTATAATGAAACACTCAATCGATTTCGAGGGCAGCTAAAGATCCCTCCTCATCAGGAGAAAGAAATACCTAGAAAGAAGAAGGAATACCTAGAAAGAAAATAAAGAAGAAGGAGTCACAGAAACACGTGGTCCTTATCAGCAACTGCACGTGGTTATAACTAGATAATAATATTATCCAAAAGGCTTCTTCCATAGGGTGAATTGGATTTTCTTGAGGCTTTTCACATTCACAAAGATTTAGCAGGTTTAGTTAATGATTGGAAGTCCGATCCAGTCCTTCCTAATGCCTTTAAAATTCTACTATCTTAATTCAGTTATTTTTGCCAATAGATGGCGTTACCTCCTCGCGTTTAGTACTACCAGAGGGTATAAAAATCCGTTCAGTGGTTGCTTTCCATTATTTGAAGTTCAGATTTTGAGCGTAAGGTGCATTTGCCCCTCGCTCCCTATTTTAACTTCGCTAATTTTTTCATGCTCGATCAGATAGCCTGGCTCAGTAAAAGTAGGCGGCCAGTGCATTCTGATTAAAAATCTAGTTATAACCACGCGCAGTGCTGATAAGGACCACATATTTCTGTGACTCCTTCTCCTTTATTTTCTTCTTTCTAGGTATTTCTTTCTCCTGATGAGAAGGGACCTTTAGCTGCCTTCGAAATCGATTGAGTGTTTCATTATACCTACGCTAAATACAAGGTTGTTTTTACGATTTTGATTACTAGGTTGTTATTTGCAAACTGCAATGTTGTTTAAATAGTATTTAAAATGTTGTGATTGATTTAGCAATATTGATTTATTATGTATTCAGGTTTTGCAAACTTAGAGTTCCCAAGTGGGGAGTGTTAAAAAACGAAAGAATGTGGATGGTACTGCATGACAGCAGAATGCATGTAATGTAAAAATGAAAAGGGGAACTGCATTTTGATTCATTAGGCAGTATGATTCACAGAAAGTTGGTCTACCTTATAATAGGATATTTGTATATATATATTTAAAAGATACAATAAATGATAAAGAACCACCTGATGCTTTGTGCTCCTGTATAAGCCACCATTGTTTTAATTATGTTTTTATATCCCCATTCAGTCCTGATTGACACAACTTTATTAATATGCTCTTCTGCATACCTTAAAATTGTAACCTGACTAAAAATCTCCAATATTCGCAACAGAAGAATTCTCAAATATCTGAATTTATCTTAATCTCAAACTGGGAGAGCTGCAAGGTGTTTGAAACTTCAGAAACTTTTAGACTATCACCACATTAATAAATATGAGATCTACTATACTTACATAGACTAACTTACATGCTCTAAGTTGTGAGTTTTCTTCAAAACAACAACATATTATACCAAGGACAGGATTTAAAGAACAAAACATGCATCTGAAATTATTCACATGATTTTTAGAACAATATTTATGTACGAATTAAAAAACTTCAACATAAATGTAGTTTAGTTCATTGAGAACTGAATGCTGCATAAAACTTACGCCTGCAATGATTTTTGTTTAATCAACTACTAGCCATGAGAGAACTATAATAAAATTTGCAAGTTCATTTAAAAGATAGACATGTCTATTGTATTAGTTTAAAATTTCCTATTAAAGTACTTTTGCAAAGACTTGTAATGGTTTAGAATGGATGATTGTTCATATTTTATGAAAGCTACATTTCCCCCCCCTAAGATTTGTAGAGAGATTTTATGTATACATGGCGCTGTGTTTTGATTAATGTGGAAAGGAACTCTGGTCAGTAATGACAGGAACACCAATTGCTTGTCTTTAAATAAATGTTTTATTGTTGTGCTTTGAACTATAGCTTCATGAACTGCAGTCACAGTTCACAAAGTCGTGAATTCTATGGATAACTATTCATCTAGAACCCATTCCAAGAACAGAATTCACAAATGTTTCTGATTTTTGAATGATATAGTAATTATATAATTTTCTCCTCCTAGACACAAGATGTGAAAAGACAAATTTGAATTTTTTTAAAATTTCTGCTCATTTTATTAGCTTTATCTGACTACTTTTTAATTGTACTTGGTCTATAATTTTTAGCCATACCAAAATTTTTAATTCAGAGCTACAAAATTTTCATGCAGCTTCTAATTTTTATAAAAGGGGAATGCTAAAGTTTTAATTTAAAAATTTTAATATTCAGATAGCTGAAATTTTTTTAAGAATATATTAGGGTTAATTACATTTTTCAATGAAGGTTAAATTACATTTCTATTTTACAAATGACCCTTTGAGAAAAAAAATTAATTACTTTAGTCAAAATTTCTTCAATAATTGATTTCATTCAAACATATGTCTCATATTACACTCATTACTCAATCCAAAATTGCCAGAATAAAGAATTTCAAAACACACTAAAAAGCTAGAACAAAGTCACTTCATAAGTTATTAAATGTATGAGTTAAGTTATTTTGTATGTAAATTTAAAACATAAAAAAATGATTTTCCCATCACTCACAAAAAATGAAAGATTTTATATTTAAGTTAGTGAATTGAAAATTTTTATGTATTCCAACAGGAAACAGGAAATTTTGAATCCCAATAAATAAATAATTTAAATATACTTATTTAAATTGTATAAAAAGATTTCATATAATTATTTAAATTATATGAAAAGAGAAACCATAGAAAATATTTGCATATGAATTATATGCAAAAAAAAAAAAAAAAAAAAAAAAAAAAAAAAAAACATACTAATATTAATTTTTTTTAAAAAATTTGCGCTTCTATTGGCAATAACAGGAATTCACGCATTTTAACTTTATTAAGAACAGATGGTTACCAATATACACAAGTAATTCCTTCAATATCTACGGTAAACAATTTCTTAAATGTACAGATACAGAAATAATTTAATATAAATCTGTGTTTATATTTTTTTATAATAAAATTTTGTACACAATTTAGGTACTTCCTGGTTACAGACACCCACAATGAAATGCTGTGAAAAAGTACTGATGAGGCAACATGCCATGTCCACAACCCAGGTATGCATGTAGCATACACGTTTTTGATTTCATGGTGAATTTACACTTTTGAAATCCAAAGGTAATTTTTTTATTAATATTTCTTTATGAATTAGATACATTTGTTTTTATTGTAATGAATCACGATGAAACAGTGGAGATTGTTCCTTTTATTTTTATTATGCTGAAATGTTTCACTGGAGTGTAGGCTGAAACTTCAACTGTTCTCCAGGTGAACGTGGCTCATGTACAGTGGTGAGAATGTGCACAATGCTGAATTTGTGCAGTTCTATGACTTTTTTTCCGGTGAAAACAGAAAGCTGCATACTTAGAGACAACATTCTTCAAACCACAAAAAAGTGTTTCTCACTAAAGTTGTAACTGAGTTTGGGACTTTGGAGTGGGAATTTGGATAATCAAATAATCAGAAAGTATCTACACAATTTATTTAAAATAAAAACATACCCAAACAGAAAGTTTCCAGCAACCACAGTTCAGCGAATCCTGCTAATGACATGTCAAACACATTATTCCAACCCACCTGATGCCTGAATGTACACTCTGCCATTTTACTTGTTAAATGTCTTATAAGAAATTCACAGATACTGAATAAATTGCTTGTGTTTATGGTAATCATCTTTCTTGCAAAGACTGAAATGTGACAATTCACATTTCGCATTAAGATTGCTATAATATATATATATATTTGAAATGAAAATAAATTGTACCTGGTTCTTTTAAAGGGTCTCCGCCATGTATGACTACAAGATCTGGAACACCATCAAAATCAATATCATTCACATATTGAGGTGTATACACATTGGATGCATCAATTTTTGCATTTTGATCATCAAATTCCCATAAAAGAAATCCATCCACTCCACTAATAGCACTGAACCCCTATGGGAAATAAAGTACTACTGACATTCATCCAAAAAATAACAAAGACTTGACATTCAAAGTTTAAAACTTCGATGTGATTAATCAGAAAATGTGCATTACACATTATTTTTTTTTAATTTATAAATATTGGTTTACTGAGATACATCAAAACAGAAGGGAAACACACCAAAGTAAAACATAAAATTAGGCAAAACAGCAATTTTGTGCTTGGCATATATTTTAGTCAGCACTATCGATTTTGAGGGCAAACAGGTAAGGTCCCTCATTGTCAAGAGCAAAAAAAAGATGCAATGAAGGGAAAACTAATGGTTATATTTATACCCAAAATGAGTACAGCAAATAAGTGCCATCTGTCAGCAGAAATAGTAATAAAAACTAAAAAATGAAGTTAATACAATTTTAAAAGGAATGGATTGGGAAGTAATTAATTAAAGATGAATTTTTGTGAATGTGAAAAGCTTCAAGAAAATCCAATTCACCAAAGGAAGAAGCATTTGGAATAATTTTTGATGAATCAAAGTAAAAAATTATGATTACATTTCCAACTATGATTAGCTATTAAAGACTTGTTAACATTAGATTGCCCAAGGAAGTCATTTTGACTGCTTCTTAATTTCAATTAGAAAAACAATTATGTATATAATGACATAATTTCTTAGAATTTTGTGACTTTTTGTACAACATATAAATGCATTTATTAGTAATTGTAGTTAACCCCCCTTCTTTCATTTCTGGTATATACTATATATATGTATTGGGAAATTTAAATAATATTTAAATATTGGGAAATTTTAAATAATCAAATGACTCTTATTATTGAATTGAGTAAATTTCTTATATGAATAAGTTCAGCTCTGTATTGAAATAACAGTTTTCATTTTTTTTCGATTACCGTCACATGATAACATACAAGTACATGATAAATTGTCGATTTGGGCGTTAAGGACTTGATAAGTTACAGTTTCCCAATAAGCTACAGTAGTACTTGTTATTTGCATCTCAGTGAACACATTGTTTTGAAATTTGTCAAGCCATTTACAAGCTGTGGAAGAACTATCATGACTGATAACTTTTCCACTAGCATGCCACTCGTGACAAAATTATTGACCAAAAAAACAACTCTAGTTGGTACTATTAGAGGAAACAAAAGAGAGCTAGCCAAACAAATGAAGGGTAACATGTCTCCTTTTTCCGCTCTGCTATATAAATCAGAGCATGGTGTTCTTACAATATATAAAAGCAAACCAAATAAAAGAGTAGCTGTTCTAAGCATAAATTTGTGAAATTTGATAAAAGTAATAAAAAAATGTTACTGAAATCTATTCAATTTTATAACAGCACAAAATCTGGAGTTGATATGACAAATCAAATGGCCAGAAAATATACAATAAAAGCTAGTTCTCGTAGATGGCTCCTCCAAATATTTTTCGATATTTTAGGTTTGGCTGCTATAAATGCTTGGATCCTTTACAAAGAAATGACAGGAATACAAATACAACAAAAAGAGTTCTTGTTTCAATTAACAGAACAGCTTTCCACAGAATACAGAGCTGCAAGAAAAGTCATCAAAGCATAAAGACCCACAAAGATCAACTGCAACATCATCAAATGCAGAATTTGTCAAGTATGACTTTTCCACAACAAAACAAATATATGTGAAAAATGACAAAAGTATGTTTGTGGATTTCCACTTTCATTTGGAAAAAATGTACAAATAATAATGAATAAATTATTTTTTTCACAAGTGAAGTAATTTTTTTATTGTTACTATTTACTAATAACTTGTTATATATCTGTAAATAATATAAAAAAATATTAAAAATTAATTTTAAAAAAATTTCTTTACACATTAGTTATTCTTTCGCAGTGCAGTCATTTTGACTGCTTTTTGGGCAATATAAGTATATACTAAGTTTCAGTCTTTCTAGTGTTAATTTTGCCCTTTTGGACATAAGATTCATGTTCCTTGATGTGAAACTTTAATGCTCTTTTAGTTTCGCAAATATATCTCAAATCAAACTGACAAGAGATGCTACAAATTCCCCAAGAATTAATGTCAGATATGGAATATTTAAGAACCCAACTGGTTTTTTTTTTTTTTTTTTTTTTTGATAGGAGAGAAAATGACTATAAAATTGGATTTCCTTGCAATTTTGTAAGTGACAAAAGAATAAAATGGAGGCATAAAAAAGTTATTAATGTATATTTCTAAAGTCAAATGTCTTCTTCGATGGCAAGATGAAATTTTTTAAAGGTTTTTATCAATGAACATGGGAGAAAATCCTCACTCAACGGCAAGTGAACAAAAAAACCAAGTTCATTCGCATGCAAAGGTTCTGAGGAACAATCTCTGACAGCGTGAAATACACAATAGTAAAGAGAAGGCATTTTTTTGCATAGCCAGATGACATGACTTGGTATGGGGAAGCAAACATATAGAAAAGGTCTCATCCATCCAGTTAATCTTTCCACTGTAAATACTAATCCTATTGTTAATATTTCAAAGATAAAAGTATTAAAATAGAATTTTTCAAAGACATCTAAACCTTCAATTTCTCAAATTATTGCCTCTATTGAAAAGCTTTTAAATTCTCTGAAATTTCAGAAAGACGGAAAGAACAGTGTGCCACTAAATTACTCATAATGTGAATTTTAATAACAGATAATTTGTTTCAAAGCTTAACCAAAAGGAAAAGAAAGGTCTTGCATGAAATTCATTCTAATCCAAACATTACAATTTCTAAGGATCCTTCAACTTCTGACCTCAAGAAAGTTAAAACAGCTGTTAAATCTTCTCATATACTTCCAACTAAGTTTTAAAAATAACTCCCCACCTCCATTTAGTAGCATTCTCCCCCTCAATTTGTGTTCGGTATTATGCTCATTTGAAACTCCACAAAATTAAAACTCCTTTTCACTCTATAGTTTCCAAGTTAGAAAATGCATCATATCCCTTTTGGCCAAATATTTAGTTTCCATATTTTCTAATAATAATAACACTATAGAAAATTCTTTTGAAGTCGTAAATAAACTTCAAGATTTTTCTCTCCCTCACTCTATTAAGGTTTCTTTCCAGGTTACATTACTGTTTACTAATGTTCCAATCAAAGTAGCACTAAAATGTTTTGAAACAAAGCCTTGAGAATTCCATTTCATACACACTGAAACTGAAGAGTTAATTTCCCTAAAGTCTCTTTGAGTCAAACCCACATTGTTTTCCAAAATTAAAATTACCACCACCTATGGAATTTTCCTCCTGTACTTGCTGACATTTACATGCACTATTCTGATGTCAAATTCTTTGAGAAACTATCTTTTCATTTCCAGATTTTTTATGTAGATGACACTTTTGCACTTTGTGATGATAATAAAAAAAAATTATCTGCTATAAATTTGATTGTTCGAGCCATCCAGCTCAGTTTACTTTTGAAACTGAATTTGGCAATAGCCTCCCCTTTCTTGATATTCTTATAATCCATAATAAATCTGATTTCAGTGCTACTGTTTATCATAAATCCTTTTGTGTTTGTATGCCTCCCCACACTAAGTTATGTCATCTGGCTAAGCAAAAAGTGGCTTCTTTTTATTATTATGTATTTTGCACTCTCAGAGTTTGTTCCTCAGAATTTTTGCTTGTTAACGAACTCATTTTTTTGTTCACTTGCCATTGACTGAGGATTTTTTTTTCTATGGTCATTGATAAAGCCTTAAAAAATTTTTATCTTGCCATCGAAGAAGAAATTTGACTTTAGAAATAATATTAATAACTTCTTTGTGCCTCCATTTTATCCTTCTATCGCTTACAAAATTGCAAGGATTTTTCAGAAGTCCAATTTTAAAGTCATTTTCTTGCCTATCAATAAAATCCATGATTGGAATCTTAAAGATTCCGTTCCTGACCTTAATTCTTGGGAAACTTATAGCATATCTTGTCAGTTTGACTTGAGAACTATTAGCTAAACTAAAAGAAAGTTTTGCATCAAAGAACATGAATCTTATGTCCATAAGGACGAAATTAACAAGTCTTCGATAGCTAATCATTGTTGGAAATTTAATCATAATTTTTAGACTTCAAAAATTGTCCACAATGTTTCTTCCATTGGTGAATTAGATTTTCTTGAAGCTTTTCACATTCACAAAAATTTACCTTTAGTTAATGACTTTCCAATTCATTCTTTCCTAGTGTTATTAAAATTCTATTAACTTAATTTTTCAGTTTTTGTTACTATTTCTGCTGACAGATTGTACCTGTTTCTCAGTTGCTTTACTCCCTTTGGGTATAAATATAACCGTGGTTTTTCCTTCCTTGCAGATTTCATTGCTCCTGACAAAGAGGGAGGTTTAGCTGTTTGCCCACAAAATCAATAGAGTCTTGACTAAAATCTAAATATAATCTTGACTAAAATTGCTGCTTTGCTCAATTTTAAACTCAGATACATATTAATAATGACCTATCCAGCTAAGTTTATTGAAATTTATTCTAAAAACAAACCATAATTAAAATAATAATGTGACAACAAAATGTTTAGAACAGGGTAATATGAAACACTGCATCTAAGAACATTTCATTTAATAACATCCCAAATGCATAAAATACTTGCTAAAAGATCAATTGCTGTTTGAATACTTGCAAAGTCATTAATGGTGCTAACACTAAATTTCATTAATCTGCAAAGAAGCCTGAGAAGTTGTTCTCTTTAAAGCAACTGAAATTTATAGCTATGAGGTTCACTCTATGTAAAAAATAATTTTAGCACAAAATGCTGTATTTAACAAGAATTTATATTCATCACCAAAAAATAAAACATAAAATATGCTTGACTCCCATATGACAAAAAATGACCAAGGTATTTAATTTCAAAATTTGATATTTCCCCATGTTTTTAAGCTTATTTTAAGGGTCAGCTAAGAAATAGATCAAAATAATTACACATTGATTTTTTTTAACCTTTCATGTTATTTAGCAGGTTTTTTTTTTTTTTTTTTTTTTTGTTTGT